CTGCAGCAGAGGAAACCAGCACCAGCACTGCCAGACCCTTCGCCCAAGCTGATACTATCAGCGTTACCAGAGTGCTTCTTTATCTTTTCGACCGACCGTGCAATAGAGTACGCGTCGGAAGAGAGGCAAGAAAATAAGAACTCAACGAAGAGCGAGTCAGCGAGTCTGCGGGAGCTAGCAGTAATGGCGCGAAGATTTGGCGCTCAGTCGGGAGAGCTATTAAGGGGATGGGGTCCGGGATTTTTTGTGGCATTGGGGCAAGGGGTGGGAGGGATACCCGGGTAAACATTTTGGGAATTTTTATTCCCAGTACCTGAATAGGGGATGAAAGCACAGGCGGATCCAGGACAGTTTCGGGGGACGACAGAGGTGTCGAAGGCAGTTTTCTTCAGTTTTAGCACTGCTAGAGCTCAGTATTCCCTAATCTTGTTTGGATAATATTTGTACAGGCACATTTTTCATTCTGATCGCCTATGCGATTTCAGAATTTTTGCTGCATATTTTATTATTGCAAGCAACGGCACCAGCATTAGTAATGCAGAAACGCCAAGAATCAGGAGATGCCTTATCCACACCCACTCCATCGAGTACAGCATTCCTCAAAATTGCTTTATTCGAAAAGCCATCACAGTTCAACGTACGCGATGTCCCACCGGCTGCTGCGCCAATTTCCTTCACTCAGCAACAGCTGCAACAACTGCAGCAACTGCAACAGCAATTGCCGCAACTTTATCAGGTGTCGAACGATGGTGGACAGAGGCGGAGTGTGATTGCGAAGCAAAAATGGACAGACGAAGTACCGCAAAAAAAGTACGGTTTTTTGCCAAAAAAGTACGGTGTTGGCATTTGCTTATTGAGCTACTTGTGACTCTAATAACCACTTCCTCCTCACGGTGGGGATTTTGATCTTTTAAATGTGTTTTTTTTTGTGTGTTTTTGATATGTGTTTGAAATGTGCTTGATTTGAAATTTTAATCAGTTTTTCAATGATTAGCCTATTAACTCATCTGTGATTTTACAATGGTAAAAGTATGTTGATAGTAGTAAACTCTCATCAGATGCTTTTATTTGTTTTTCCCCGTGGTTGTAAGCACTGGTCTTAATTCGAGGCGTGTGAAGTTTTTTGGATCGTGGATAATTTAAGCGTTTTTTTCTGTTCTTTTTCACTTTCCTGGCCTGGCTCCAAACTGATCTAAACTCATTTCACTAAAAATAATTACTTAAATTTCAAAAACTCAAAAGCGCAAATCACCGTCTCAAAAACATTCGAAACTTCACACTGTTGTGCAGATTATCTGAGGACCATCGAAAAATGCTTGGTTAAAGTTGCAGCAGGATTTTTTTTCTAAAAAATATGGATCCCAAATATATTTTTTAGAAAAATTCCAAACATTCCATGGACAGAAAATAGAAAAATTCAAAAAAAATTCCAAGTATGAGTTTCAAAAAAAAAATTTCCGGATTCTAAATATGATATAGTGAAGAAGTAGCGGTTCTAAGCACCACTTATATACTCGGAATTCTGATGAAATCTTCGAGCATGCTGCTTTTTTTTTGCGAATCATTGAAACGTACTTTTCTGATGAGATCAATTAGCTACCGACTTTTCCTGCTTCCACCAAGAATAAGGGGAAGAAAGATGTTCTACATTTCAGTAATACCACAGAATTCCGTCTGGGTTGTCGTATGCGATTTCATCGTGCAGCTCGAATTGTTTCCATTGTTGTTTCGCTGTTTGTC